CAGATTTAGGCTTCAGTGGCTGACTTGATGTCAGAGCGCGGTTGGGATATGGACAATTGTTTGCATGAGTTCACACATATCCGACATGATTTGCCAGGACTGCTACAACTCCGTCCTCGCCCAGCCAAGTTACCATCGATGCCATCACAGCCCAGTTTCCAGAGCCCACACAAAGGCAAAGGCAAAGGTAAACCCTCCAAAGGGAAAGGTAAGTCTAAAGGAAAAGGCAAAGTGCAATGGTTGACGGATGTGAAGACCAAAGAAGGTCAATGGAAACAGCTTTGCATGCGTTTTCAGACTGGCAATTGTTCGTTGGGCGATTCTTGCAGATTTCATCACAGCTGTGCCTATCCTGTCAATGGTCAGGCCTGTGGGTTAGATCATGGAGCTCTTCAACATCAAAATACAACCCACTGACTAGGACAACCGATCCAACTACCAAGCCATCCAGACGATACCAAAGGTACTTTGGATGTTACAGAACCTCCAGTTGAACCTCCTAAGGAGGATATACCGGCCATTTTGGCCCCTGGGGAACAACAGGTTTCACATGTTTCATCCCCGCAAGGTTCACCTACGTTGCCTAATTTCAATCAAGGCGATGCAAAGATCTTTTTGGATATATGCTCAGGAGCTACCCGTCCTTTGAGTTCGGCCATTTTGGCACAGCATGGAAGTGTTCTGGCGTTCGACATTTTGTTGGACCCACGTATGGACTTGCTGAATGATCAGAGCTATGAACAGCTTTTACGCATTTGTTCTTCTGGTCAAGTCTCCTATGGTGCAGCATCTCCTTCTTGTGCTCACTCCTCCAGGTTGAAACTGCATCGTCCAGGCCCCAAGGCCTTGAGAACACCAGAGGAGCTACAAGGAGTTCAAGGACTGAGTAGTCAGGAACTTCTTCAGGTCCAAGAGTCATATATGATGCTGGCGAGATCAATCAGGCGGCCATCGTCACCTTGAACAACCTCCAACAGCTATGAGTTGGTTGGAGGAATGTGTCAAATCATTTTTGGTTTTGATCTCAGCATGGTGTACGGTGATATCAGCTTGTGAATACGGCAAAAGTTGGTACAAACAATGGATGTTTGCAAGTAGCTGGAGCAAGATAGCTACCTTGGGCTGCCTGTGCTCCCATCCACCTGGGAGCCATACTTCACTGGTGGGTACCCGCTCGGATACAGGCGAGTTTTTGAGTCGACAAACAGCATGTTATCCCGAGCACTGGCCAACGCTTTCGCAGATCTGGTAACTCCACTGGTAAATCAACAACACCATGATTGGAAGTGGGATAACATCCATGCTATTCCCCCGATGGCTCCTCATGGCCAAGAGGATGGGGGAGGCCTTCCCTCCAATCCAGATTGGAGTTTGGGGGATCGAACGGTTCCTGATGTATTTGGACAATTGAGACATCAATGGATGAAACGCATCGTTGACTCGACTGGACAAGTTTTTGGTCTAGTACTTTGCCCAGGAGGATCACTCATCTCCACCTTTTCCTGACGAAGTTTTGGCCCCTTTTCGAAGGGATTTGGAACATTTCCTCCAAGGCTCAGGCTTTCCAGTGGATTGGCAGATTCGACCTCATCAACCCATGTGTTTGGATATTTTGCAATGTTTGAATAAACTCATGCACAATCCTGATCAGACGTTGTTTCCATCACTCATCGCTGGTGTGGGGACTGGATTTCAACGTGATATACCCTTGAGCCACTGCTTTCCGATCAACACTGATGATGATGAAAATGAACCACCCTTGTCGGCACACCAATGTAATTGGCAGAGCGCAGACGATGACATCACGCTCACACGTGAACTTGTGCAACAGGAAATCGATGAGGGTTGGGTCTTTGAATTTGATGGAGATTTACAAGATGCACAGCAACGATATCCCCTTGGCGTTGCTCTGGGCAAGTTAGGCATTGCCCATTCGGAAGGCAGAGCACCGAGACTGGTTCTGGACCAAACAATATGCGGCCTAAACGGGCGTTGCAAAATCCCTGAGAGGAGCACCCTCCCATCGGCAAAGGATGTATTGCGTACATTCCCAATTAGAAACTTTTCTGGTGATCATATGGGATTTTCACTCGACATTAAGGCGGCTCACAAAAGAATAGTGATACGTGAAGAAGAACATGGACTTCTGGGATTCACTCTCCAAGGCAAGTTGTATTTTTACAGAGTCGCTCCGTTCGGAGCCACCTTCTCGGCGGCATGGTGGTCCAGACTTGGCGGATGGATGCTCAGGTTCTTTCACTTTCTAATTTGGTGGACACACGTTGCCTTGCTCTACGTTGATGACTTTTTGTTCTTCCAATCTTTATTCAGCATGCCACTCTCAGCCACCATGATCTGTATCATGAGTCAGATCACAAATATCCCTGTATCCTGGCAGAAGTGCGAGTTGGCATTCAGCATACAATGGATTGGATGGAAAATTCACTTGCGTTCAGGTTTCATTGAAATTCCAGCCGCCAAGATCAAGAAGTTCCAAGATTATTTGCGATCTATGGGACGTAGCTCCCGCACCTCAAAGCGAAATTTGGAGAAATTGATTGGACTTGCGCTATGGTTAACTCAACTTTGGCCCTACATGCGAATTTGGATTCGACACTGGTACCACGATCTATATTCAATTCCTGCAACTCACTACAGCATTGACAATGGGGACTGGGGCCTATTCCCAACACATTTGGATTCTCAACTGAAAATCATTTCTCGTCCTCATGGTACTGCATTACCAATTGGGGGCCAACTCTTGGCGGTTCGACATCAAAGTGTGCATACTAAAGATGACCTGGCGAAAGTGCACCTATCCAATAAACGTATTTGGCTTCGCATCAGAGATCCCTCTTCCACCAAGCGTACTTTATCTTCAGCAAGTACTCGAATTATTCAACATTTTCAACAATGGGTGTCGGGGTTATCTCCAATGAAACCACTTACACCCAAAGCATATTGGCCAGGATATGCTGCTGCAGATGCGTGTGCTTCTGGCACCACATGCGAAATTGGTGGTTTTGTGCAGTCAATTGAGGGTACTGTCTATTGGTGTTCTGAAATCTATTCCCATTCAGACTTTTCTGATTTGGACGTGGAATTGGACCAAGAAATGCAACGATCAATTTCATCTTTTGAAACTCTTGCTCAGATTGCTTTATTATTTGTGACAGCAAAATTTTTTCCGGCTCACCGAATGCCAGTCTGCCTGAAAAGCCTCAGCGACAACAGTGGTGCCGAATCAGGCAGCAATAAACTTTGGAGTATGACCTATCCTTTATCGATTTTCTTGGAACGCATGTGCCTCTTATCAGCCACTCTTGGCATGGAAATTGATGTAAGTCACATTCCAGGTTCTCAGAATGTGCTTGCCGATGACCTTAGCAGATGGGACCAGACCGGTCCACCACCTCACTCATTTCAACTCAGCGATCGCATCCGTATCCCGTTGCCAGCCTTATGGAACATTCGTAGATCACCAACTCTTGTGCCAATGGAAGCCTCAATTCCTTGGACATTGCCCAGCTCCTGATTTCCTTTTTCTTCCTTGCTGGAATTCCCCTCACGTTTTCAATTGGGGTATGTTTGGGCGAGTTGAATTCCCAGATAGTTTTAATTAGGGGTTTGATATCCATCTGTTCATTCAACCAAATAAAGCTGTTGGTTGGAACTTCTGAGACATATAAATTCCAGCAAGCGAAAAAGGAATAATAATACAGTCCGAGTGCTTTGAACCTGCAATTCGAGAATCAGAATTTCTGGAAGCGTCATTTAGGTGTTTTTTATAAATTAAATTTGAAATACACCAGAGTTTATATATATATATATACATATTTATATGTATTAAGATACTTATATATATATATATGGAATTAATAGATAGAAGATTGAAGTCCATGTAGAACGTTTAACGTACTTGTTTCGTTTATGTTTTACGGGGTACTTTCACATCTTTGTTTCCTCTGAAACATTTTGGATCAAGCTGGACTTCAATCTTCTATGCGTTTGTTGTTTGGGAATATTCTAAAAACCCACCCCCCCACACCAAATATTCTTACTTTATGTTGTTGCTTCTTTTGATCCGGTTTATCTATATTGTTGAAACAGCTTCCTTTCCGCAATCTGGCACCCAAGAATCACTTGGGTCCATATGCCGTTTCATGCGTCAACCTTGCATTCGATTTGCATCCGTGTCTCCAACCGGGAGCCTGCATTCGCCGTAGGTCTGTGTTCTCCACCTTGGAGATCTTGCATAGGTCCATCTCTAGCTTCCAAAACCTTGGAGGCACTTGCATTCGCCGTAGGTACCACTCGTTTTCACTCTGCACACTCGCAGGTTTGCATTCAGTTTGGATGTGCGACAATCCAACTTCCTACTCTTTAAGATGGGGAGTCCCCTATCGGAGGATATCTAAACCCCCTCACAAAAAAAAACATTTTTATCTGGTCTCTTTTATTTGTTGGTTTGGTTTTGCTTGGAGGGGGTTTGATATCCATCTGTTCATTCAACCAAATAAAGCTATTGGTTGGAACTTGCCATCACGGTTCACCGTGGTGTCTGTTTGAAGTCACTGGGCCCTTGGGGGGCTTGGGTGGGGATCTCGCCCCTTGGTCTCTAGATTCCTGCTTGCTCCTCTGCTGTGCTCGCTGCCTCCTGCTGGCGTGTCCTCTCCCCGCGTTGCCTCCTTCAGGGTTTGAGTCTAGAGGCGTTACAGGTTAAGGCGCCAGGTTCAGCGGTGTTAAAAAAAAAGGAAAGGGTGTGAAGAACACTCTGGCTGTGAACATTCTCAGTTTGATGCTGTCCAGTATTTTCAATGCATTCACCGTTCGTTTTCGTTTCATGTTTATTTCGTTTCAAAAAAAAAAGAGGAAAGATTCAGTCTGATGTCATCGGAAAAAATTCAGCTTGCGATTCATCGTTTTATGTGTGATCTGAAGGTTCAAGGGCTAGGAAAATTTTGAACAGTTTGGGACGCGCTGCAATCTCCGACGTATGCATGAACTGGAGTGATGTTCCCATCAAACAGAGTACTAGGCAGAGGCTGGAAGGGATTTTCGGAGATCTCAAATACCTGTGGTATTCATTTGATGATGCGGCTGGAGCCCAAGAGCTTTTGCGTTCGGTTTTGAATGAGACCGAGTGGACTGATTTTGGACAGCAGAGCGTTGAGGGACTGGTCGCTTGGCACAAAGCATTTGGACCACAGGTTAAAAGGCAGCGTATCCTGGACTGCAATCTTAGCTTTGAGTACTGCACTCATCCCAAACGGGACACAGCTAGTGCAGTCCATGAGACATTTGAGCAGATCATGAAGGAAGATCCCCGCTTTATGTTGGACACAGTTAAGCGCACTCAACGTAGGTCTGGGACTGGTGAAGGGCCGGAAACGAGAGCGGCCAGGGAGCAGAAAGAGAGGGATAGATACGCCCTGGAACTGGCAGGCATCCTCCAGGAAGCCGTTTTGCCAGTGAGCCTCCAGGTAGCGGCACTGCAGGACCCGAACAAGGCCTGGTTACGGCTGTTTGGTTCAAGACGTTCAAAGACCTTGAGGAACAGATACAGGTCCTGGAATCGTTTTCGCACATGGCTGGTTGCATATTCAGGTAAGACTTGGCCAAGTGGTTTGGATGTTTTGATACACTATGTTGAGGAGCACATTCAGAATGGGGTGACCTTCAGTTTTATTTCAGAGTTTCAGGCGGCTTTGGTGGTTTTAGAACAGGCTGGAAGGATACCAGACAGCAAGCAGCTGTCCAGGGATCCATTGTGGAAGGCACACATCGAAAGTTGGAAACAGGAGTTGTCAACGAACTGTTTCCCCAAGGCTGCGAAACCATACACAACAGCCATTTTGTTGGCACTTGAGCTGTTTGTCATGGAGATGGATCATGAATTCTGTCTGCGTTTAATTGCATGGTGCATGCTGGTTTCGACATGGGCTGCTATGAGGGTAGACGATTTGCAGAACGTCATGCCCGAGACTGTCAGGCTCAGTAACCGTGGTTTGACGCTCAGGATGGCAAGGACAAAGACAACGGGGGGCGCCAAACTGCATGGACCGATTTGTGCGTTTGTGGCCAGGGACATTACCATCTCTGGTTATGACTGGCTCATGGAAGGTTTTCAGATGCTACAACGGGAGGACCTCATGTTTCCCCGGGATTATTTTATTCCAACGCCCGGCCGGGACTGGGCTGGATTCAAGAACAAGATCATGGAACCACCTGCAATGGCTAATTATTTCAGAATTGTTTTGGGAAGACTTGGAACGCCACGCTATCAAGATGGCTATTGGCGTCAGAATCAGGCAATGGATTTGGTTCCAGGTGCCATGCTGCTCTTCTGGTCGGGCCATAGCCCGCGTCATTATTTGACCCAGGCAGCGGCCTCACTGGGGGTGGACAAAACGAAACGTGATTTCTTGGGCAGGTGGTCTATAGGGCGTACTGGAAGCAACGCCTATTTGCATACATCACGCCAAGTGGTGGAAGAGGTGCAGCACTTGGTTAGAGATGCGATCGTGTTGGGCGCCCCAGTGTTAGATGAATCGGAATTGTTGGAAGATGTCATGCATTTTGCGGACAAACATGAGCTGGTGGGACAGAGAGTCAGAAGACGCCACACACATGATTATAGGAGGTCCAATGCTGAGGAGGTTTTCAACACTTTTGATTCAGACATCGAGCAGGTCGATGCACAGGAGAAACAACAGGTAATTGAAGCAGTGCAGCGAGAGGCGAATGAGAGCCAGGCCCCAGGGGGCTACTTCATCACGACCTCCCGGAGGACAGGGTTCAGGAGATTACACATGCACGGGAAATGTCCTGTGCGCTCAGACAGATGCATTGACTCCACAGATGTTGATAATGTTCAGGATGCTGCATATGATGCGGTTTGCAAAATCTGTCAACGTAGGATTTCAGAAGAGTTGGGACGCATGACAACAGACCATGATGCGTCGAGCGACTCAGGTGATTCATCATCGACGAACTCGTCGGAAGACGAGGCCGAGGCAGAAGAGGCATCGGAGTGGCAACCTTTGATTTGACATTTGATTTCATTTGTTTTCACCTTGTTTGAAAGTGCAAAGGCGATGTTTCAGACAGGACACTTAAGCCGCATTGCACCTCAGTTTAAGTTTCATGCGAGCCGCGGTCATAGACCATTGGCAATAGGACACAGGCGCTAAAGGCGCAAGGGCCAGAGGCAAGTCGATCAGCAGATCATTTGCGCTTCAGTGAAAAATCATTTGATTTGGGTGGTTCGTTTTATTTGTTTATTTGTCCTGCGTCCTCGGCATTCTCCCCATCTCCTCTTCTCAGATGCGATTTCAAAGACAGAAAGAGAGATTTCGGACTTGGCGTTGCAAAGTTTGGAAGGACCGGTTTGGCAAGACATTTTTGGAACTTATTTCATTTGGCGGTGAGGCTCAGAGACAGGAAGAAAGAGAAATTTCAGTTTACAAAGATGGCATTTTGAATTGTTTCGGTTTGATTTCATTTTGTGGTTTTGGTTTGTCCCGCGTCCTCGGCATTCTCTCCTTCTCCTCTTCACACATGGATGTTTAAAAGACAGGAAACTGCCAAAGAGTTTCAGCTTTAGATTCAGTGTCAGCAATGGCAGTAACGGATGATGAGCGCAGAGAGTATCTGCGAGGCAATGTCACTTCAGACTTGCAATATGTATGGGATGATGCCGAGATCCCATTGGCATTGCAATATGACATGGCCCAACATTACAAGTCACTACGGGTCTTCACGGCCTTGGGGGAGAACTCAGCAGATGTGCGAACCGCAGTCCAGGCCGATTTCAACTTGGACCCAGCCAGAGACCCGGCAGTTCGGGCCCAAGTGGCACAAGTGGTGGCAGCTTGGAACGCAGGGAAGGAGTTGTATACAAAGGAGAAAGAGATACAAGCCGAGAGCAAAGTTCTTGGCGTACCGCGGCACCTCCAGCACAGCGAGCGCTTGGCAATGCTTAGAGCAGTTGAAAAGGTTTTGGGCCACCTCTCGGACCACGAGACACCCAGTGCAGAGTACCTTGCTTTGAAGGTGGAAGAGTGTGAGAATGGAGAATGTACAGCAGCTAGCTTAGATGAGGTTTCATCAAAAGCTGACCGAAACACATCGGCACTTCAGACGTCGCTGGACAGCACTGGCCATGTCAGGATCACCAAGACGAAGTCCAAAGGCCGACTCCCGGAGACCACAGAAGAATACCGAAGGTTGATGAAGCTCGAGGCCACCACGTGGCTTTGCATGTCAGCCAAATTCAAATCGAAACACTTCTTGGCAGGTCTGAAGATGGAGGACTTCAATCGCTTTGTGGAGTTCATCTTGGGGGAGAAGGTCCACGGGATCAAAGTACCATTGGATGGGATGCAACAGCCACTGCGTCCACCTTTCGCCCTGGTGCTCCAGTTCGAACAACGCCTGAGACGGGAAGCCTTCAAGCTGGTCAACAAAGGAGAAAAGACATTAGCAGAGGCCTTGGAGGCCGTAACGAAAGATGCCGAGCTCAAAGAGTCATACTTTACCACACCCCTGGCCTTGGCCAACCATGACCCAGGACGCCATGGCAATCCACGGCCTTTCCAGTACAACGTGGACAACAGGAAGGGCAAGGCAAAGGGGTATGGCAAAGTGAAGGGAAAATTTGAGAAAGGAAAAGGGAAAACCTCAGGCAAAGCCAAAGGAAAACATGGGGACCACAATCTGGTCACCCATTCACCAGATGGCAGGGAAATCTGCTTTGCCTTTAACAGCCAGGGCTGTCCGGGCAAATGCGGCAGGCTTCACATCTGCCGTATTAAAGGATGCTATGGGGAACATGCGGCCCGGGAACACGACCGTTGCAAGGATGTTCCAAAGGGCAACAACAAAGCCGAGTGACAACCTACAGCAGCACCCGGTTGCCAACCCACATTGCGGGTGCTGTATTTGTTTTGTGGGAAGCCTCGCAGGGCAGACGTCAAGCACTACCTCCAAGACCTTGGCTTGGAGAACAAATTTAACTTGCATGTGACAGAGGTCGATGTGGAACGACAGGCCTCTGATGATCTGTTAAACAGTCAACTTTGGGACAAAATTTTTCAGGAACTGGAATCTGGACTATGGGACGTGGTGGTGATGTCACCCCCATGTAACACATTCAGCAGGGTTCGCTTCAATTGGAAAATTTCTCCTGGCCCACGGCCACTACGTAATTTCAACTGGCCACGAGGTTTTCCATGGCTCACAGGTTCAAATCTACAACTGGCACAGGATCATAACTATTTGGTGGACCAGACCATCGCCACGGCACACAAGTGTTTCCAATGCAAAGCAGACTTTCTTATCGAACACCCAGAGGACTTGGGGGCATGCCATGGTGAGTGGCCCGCTAGCATTTGGCAGTGGGAAACTATGCAACAGCTGCAGCAATCTACAGGAGCTACAACTTGGGCAATTTTTCAGTGTCATTTTGACGCGCCATCGCCCAAGCCAACCAGGTTTCTTTCTACATTGGAGCCATGCCAGGAGCTCCAGTATGCAACATGGCCAAAATTCGACGAATCGCGACAGTACTTGGGCCCACTGCCAACATCATGCGGGCACTCTACGCACGCCAAGCGCCTTTTAGGCCAACTGCCAAGCGGAAAATGGGCCACAGAGGGCTCAGCAGCATACCCCCCAGCACTTTGCAAATACCTGGCCGAGCTCATCGCCAGCCGGGTGGGGAGCTCACAGGCCTCTTCACTCGACCCTCCTGCAGCCGCCACGACGATAGCTGATTCAGAACCTGCACGAGCGCATACAACAGAACCTGCACAAGCGCATACAACAACTGCAGTGGCAGTTGATTCAGGCTCAAATGAGAAGCCAACCGAGGAAGAGCCTGAGAAGGCTTGCAACAGAGGTAAGCCATTGGTGGTTGAATGGGGTGGAAGATCCAGGCCCTTTGTGGACGGTTTTGGTTTATGTTCGTCAAACCGCTGGCGCCCTGAGGACAGAGGTGCATACCTGGGAGGGGATGCACGAAAGTTGGGGGGAAAGGTGAAAGACCTCCTGCAGGAGTTTGTTACGTCTCAGATTGGTGACCTGAGGCACGAAGCGTTCAACCTGGCTTTGGGGAGGTTGCAGAGTTCACCGTTTTCAGAAAAGGCTTTACAGAAGCTCAGGGAAGACTGGGCCCAGCTGCTGCCATCTCCGGCAAGCGCCATGGAGCTTCCGGACGGCCAACCCTTTTTCCTCCACCTTTTAGCTCAAACGCTCGAAGTCATGGAAGATCCGGACTACCGGGTGCTGGTGCAAGATGGAGAGTCATTTGCTACGGGCGTGCCAGTTGGATTGGATGAGCCGCTGCCTAGAGTCCCGGCGGTTTTCCCACCAAAGGAGAAGCATCGCAAGCTGGACGATTCGGACTACATCCCCTTTTCAGAAAACTACAAGTCCGCTGAGATGGTTGCAGAGGAGATGGAGAATAAATTTAGGGAAGAAGAAAAGTTGGGTAGGATGTACCCGACCACACTGGCGGCCTTGAAGGCCAAGCACCCCGACAGGGAGGTGTTGGTAGCGTCTATGGGGGCCATGCAAAAACCCAACGGAGACATACGTCCCATACATGATGCAACACACCATGTTCAGCTCAACAACAGGATAATTTTCAGGGACCAGTTGCAATACCCCGGGCCGGAAGATGCAGCTGGTGTCATACGTGAGGTGACGGAGACAAAGGAGGCCATGTTTTCCATTTCAGCAGATATCAAGTCGGCACACCGCCTGGTGAAACTTCGTAGCAGGGACCACCCGCTCATTTGCTGCAAAGCCTCCTCAACGTCGGATACCATCTGGGTCAACAAGGTGGGTACCTTTGGCGTTTCTAGCGCCTCATACTGGTGGACACGGCTCATGGGAACCATTGGAAGGCTGGTGAGCAATGCCATGGGGACTGAATGCAACTACCAGCTTATCTACGTGGATGACTTGCATGTGGTGGTTTTCGGGGAGCGCAAGTTCCTGACGCTGTGGATGATGCTTGCGGCCTACGAGGCCTTGGGGACGCCGTTCCAATATGCAAAGTTCGCTGGTGGGATCGAAGTAACGTTTGTGGGGTTTCAGCTGGACTATGGACGATGCAAAATGGGTGTGACGGCCAAGCGAGGCTCTTGGTTGCTGAAGTTTATAAAGGAGATGGAAGATGCCCGCTATACGGTGCACATGCGCCGCTTTGGGGAATTCCTTGGTAGACTGGCCTTTCTGGCCCGAGTCCTGGTTTGGCTGAAAGCACACCTAGCACCATTGTATAGCTGGGCAGCAGCCTTGGCCAAAGGTACAGTGGCAACAGCACCACGCATGGTGGTCCTGGTTCTCAAGTTCGTCTCCGTGCAGTTGGCGGAGTGCAGCTTCATGTATTCCTGTCGCAGGCCTGTCTATGTGATGGAAGAACAGTTCAGAACGGATGCAAAGTGCGCACAAGGGGTTGTTGTTTTGGGCGGACACCATATGGCCACAGGTCGTTGGTTTTCGTTGCGTTTGGAGCCGAAGCAGGCGCCCTACCTGTTTAAGCCGGATGGGGAAAGCAGTTGGGCATCGGCGCCCGCAGAACTTTTGGCTACCATGGTGGCACTGATTTTGTTTGGCTATGGAAAAGGAAGAGAAAGAATGACGGTGCCGATTTACCTGGCGGCAGGCACCGACAACCAATCAAATGAGGCTCTTCTCCAGAAGGGCAGTTCCACCAAGTTCCCACTGGCCTTAGTCAACATGCAGATGACGCATCAGCTCATGCGTTGGGGGTTGAGACTGGAGTTGCGATGGCGGCCCCGAGCCGAAAATGATTTGGCTGACAAACTCACCAACGAGGACTTCAGCCAAGTAGAGGCGAGCCTGCGTGTAGAATGCAAGTGGGAAGATTTTGATTTTAGCCTTCTACAGCAGTTGTGGGAGGCGCGTCACGAGTTCTTAGACAAGGACACGTTAAGAAAGTTTGCAAAACATGCTGGAAATGCGAAGTTTGAGAAAACTCAGTGGTGAGGCTCAGATTCAGTGTCAGGCCCCTCGCTTCCAGGGGGGGGCACAAAACTTTTTCTCAGGGCCTGACATGAGGCCAAAGTTCATATGCAGGTGAATATCACCGTCAGCCTGAAAGATCAGATCCAGGATTCAGTTCCAAATCCACACGACAAAAAAGGAAGTGGGCGACTGACCGTTTGATGTATTTCGATTTTCCGTGATCAGCTGCGGTTTGCATTCCTTGTCATTTATTTGGAGTGGTTGCTGTTTTGGTTTTTAGTTTGGTTTTGTTAGGTTTTAGTTTTTTGGTTTAGTCGCGTAGGTCGCGTGCGCGTTTCCGTTTCTCGGAATGTTATTGACTTGGCCCAAGTGATGGAGAACAGGCCATCACGGTTCACCGTGGTGTCTGTTTGAAGTCACTGGGCCCTTGGGGGGCTTGGGTGGGGATCTCGCCCCTTGGTCTCTAGATTCCTGCTTGCTCCTCTGCTGTGCTCGCTGCCTCCTGCTGGCGTGTCCTCTCCCCGCGTTGCCTCCTTCAGGGTTTGAGTCTAGAGGCGTTACAGGTTAAGGCGCCAGGTTCAGCGGTGTTTTTTTAAAAAAAAGGAAAGGGTGTGAAGAACACTCTGGCTGTGAACATTCTCAGTTTGATGCTGTCCAGTATTTTCAATGCATTCACCGTTCGTTTTCGTTTCATGTTTATTTCGTTTCAAAAAAAAAAGAGGAAAGATTCAGTCTGATGTCATCGGAAAAAATTCAGCTTGCGATTCATCGTTTTATGTGTGATCTGAAGGTTCAAGGGCTAGGAAAATTTTGAACACCCGCCCTCCCAAAACCCTGGGAATTGAGGTGTTTTATGCATTCGAACAGCCGACGGGGCTTCATTGTTTATTCTGACCTTTGTAGACGACAGCAACATCGTCTTTCCGTATTCCATATTATCCTGGCTTCGATCCTCTCTTTCATTTCCGGCTTCGCAAGCTGTTTCGGGTGGCTTCTGGTCATTGACTATGACTCCAATTATACAGCTGCTGAACCTCTATGCCACTCTGACTTTGTTACATCAGAGAGCTTGGGCACTTCGCCATTTCATGGATGAACGGGAAGACTATTTAGAAGCTGAAGGGTTCACATACCCCTCGACAATGGCGGCCCGGGTTCGGGCACATTTGGATTCTCTGATTTCCTGGTGCTGCCATTCTCTGGGTTTCCTTCACCGCGCTATCATTTATACCTCTAAAGACCTGGACTGAGTGGGGGGCACCAAACTTTTTCTCAGGGCCTGACATGAGGCCAAAGTTCATATGCAGGTGAATATCACCGTCAGCCTGAAAGATCAGATCCAGGATTCAGTTCCAAATCCACACGACAAAAAAGGAAGTGGGCGACTGACCGTTTGATGTATTTCGATTTTCCGTGATCAGCTGCGGTTTGCATTCCTTGTCATTTATTTGGAGTGGTTGCTGTTTTGGTTTTAGTTGGGTTTTGTTAGGTTTTAGTTTTTTGGTTTAGTCGCGTAGGTCGCGTGCGCGTTTCCGTTTCTCGGAATGTTATTGACTTGGCCCAAGTGATGGAGAACAGCTGAGACATATAAATTCCAGCAAGCGAAAAAGGAATAATAATACAGTCCGAGTGCTTTGAACCTGCAATTCGAGAATCAGAATTTCTGGAAGCGTCATTTAGGTGTTTTTTATAAATTAAATTTGAAATACAACAGAGTTTATATATATATATGTATTAAGATACTTATATATATATATGGAATTAATAGATAGAAGATTGAAGTCCATGTAGAGCTGGCCCTCCTTCAATACGAATCCAGCACGAGAAAACAACAGTCAAATGGAAAGATGGTCCCTCAATGAGGCACCGTCATGGGCTTGCCCCCCCCTAGCCATTGCCAACCAATACCATGACCAACGAAACAGCCGTCCGCTGAACGTGAGATACCGGCTCATCCTGGTGAGAGCGTCCGACTTTGCCTGGCTACAGAAAGACCAGCAGTACTTGCGTCACTTGCACCAAGTAGCAGCGGATGGACACAACTGGATCCCCGTGCAGGACCTCCCATTTCATGAATTGATTTTGTTTGCATACGCTGCTGACCGAACCCCCAGACCTACGTATGTATGCCTACCATCAGGATTGTATCATGCACGTACCGGAAGGGTCCTACCACAAACCGGCCCTTCCCAAGAAATCACACCTCTGCCAGGCATTTACTTCTTTGATGGGTGGCGTGCGCAGCCAACATTGGACATCCCAGTCAACCTGCCGAGCACCAAGGAGGCACCAGCATACGGCGGTGGAACAACAGTGCATACCCCGCGAGGAACGGAGCCAACCAGATCTCCTGAGGAGGAGGCACGGGACATACTAGCCACTGCGGCCAAGAACCAACCGGAAGATGGACCCGGCACTCGCAGGGCTGCCATCCGCGCATGTAAATACCTTAGAGCAATGGTTAGCCAACATGGCCCCCAGCTACAGACCGTATATGATGCCGCGAAGGAACATACACAACGCAGCAAAGGAAGCGCAACGAATGAAACGACCCCATATTGGCCAAAGGAAAGTGAACTCCCAGTGGTAGCACCAGAGCTGACATCGGAGTTGCTCCACTGCCTATCCACTCTGCCGGACCCATGGCCCTGCGGAAGCCTGGCAGGAAGTCCTCCTACCTATCAAACACCTGAAACCCAGCAGACTCTAGAGCACACCTGTTTTCTGTCGACAGGCAGCTGGTACCAAAAGGGTGACTCGAACCGCAGAACTAGCAGCACGAGCAAGATCGAACGCTTCCATGGATCTGAGCAATGTGATCGTTTCATCACGGCTCCAAAATTCTGTGTTGCTCAAGATTCCATGGAATAGAGGATGTGCAACCACTGGATCTCAGAATCATTCTGACAACGGCCAAGAGCCCTCTTCTTACGAGCCGATTGAAATTCGGGATCGAACACAATTCGCCAAAAACCTTTAGATAACGCCTGAACAAGAGACTCATGTTTCCAAGGTTTAGTTAAACCATCAGCCAGTTCCTGATCACCATCCACCCACTTGAGTTCGACTCTCGCTTGAGACAGACGTTCCTTTATGGCAAGGAGCTCGATGGCAGTTCTCTTCTCCTCCATCTGCAACCCTGAAGTTTCAACCTTCACTGCTCCATCAAAAATATTACGAGCATCACAAACCATACACGAAGGAAAAGTTTGAAGATACGAATCAGCTTTCCTCAAATCCAATTTGAAATTCTGCTGTAAATCAAACAAAGCCAACTTCGCAAATTCATGAGTGTCAAGAGCATTACCGGTCATTTGAGCTTCAGCACTGGTACTAGATCTAGCAACCCTTCGCAATCTTCTACTAGTCCAATTCAAGACACAAAAGGGGGATCTAGAACCCTTCAGAACATCACGTGACATGAGCATGGTGATTTGACCTCCTTGATGAGAAATCTTTCCTCGTAGCCCATGAAGCATCCGTGAAAGTCACCAAAGTAACATCACCAGATATCGAAGGAAACCATAAACCCTGCTCAAACTTCTTCCGTTGGAGACGAACTAATTTATTCGCAGCACAAAGCTCTTCAACAGTAGCATTTTCAACGCAACCTTGCAAATGGGAAACCGTGGACAAAATCCAAGGTGCTGACTGAGTCGCTCGCCAATTTAGAGCTCCAAGACACTGTCTAAGCTGGCGACGCTCTAAGGACGTTACAGGTTCAAAAGTTTCAAGTTTCCGAGCATTCGACAGTGGAATCTCATCCACACTAAGTGCAAAACGTTCCTGTGTCAAAGTGATATTGAACCTGTCATCCTGCTTGATTTCACAACCGCAATAGACCAAGGGCTTTTCCTGAGCATTACACCATGATCCAAAAGGAAATTTCATTCTCAACCGTTGAATACAAGCTTCATACTCATCACCAACACCAGCACACAAAACATCATCAACATGAATCCCCAGATAACCAACCACATTACCATTACCATCAACACGTTTGAACAAACACTTGTCAAGAGAATGAACCAACCAGCCATCTTCAATCAAAAAGGAACTAAGAGCCTCATACCATCGTTTTGGTGCGTTCAATAAACCGTAAATCGCCTTAGAAATTCTCAAAATTTCATGATCCTTCATGTTGAGAAGTTGACGCACCTCGGGTGTCGGTTCACCGTACAGACGGTCTTCCAGCTCAGTCTGACTCCCTTGCAGAAATGCAGTCTTGATATCACCGCTGCATATCAACATCTTGAAACAGGCCGCGCATGCAAGTAGCAGATTTCTTCCCAAAACTGACAACGTGGGTGATTCACGTGGCAAGGTAAGCAACCTAGGGTCCTGGTATCCTTTGATGATTAACCGAGCCTTAGCTTTACGATTTCCAACAGTTTGATCACCTTCATCAACCGACTTCCACGTGTACACCCAACGCATTTGCATGACTCTTTCAGGAGAAATACCATGGGAAGAACAAATCTGAACAGCTTCACTCGACAAAAAGGAATCAAGTTCTTTCTTCATAGCAACTTCAAACAACTCTTGATCATCCTTATTTAATTTTCTTAAGACCACCTCGGCACCTTTCCTAGCCTTGGCATTCACGACCCAGATCCCTTTTTGAAAGTGAACATCACGTGGTGCAAGGCACAGTTCCATTTCAATCACATCCAATCGATCAACAAAAGACACAAACTTTTCATGACCAACCTCATGACCAGTAACATGTTGGATTGATTGATCTTGAAAAAGGGAGATCTCTCTCTGAAGACTTCGCTCAGAGTCATTTGCACCGGGTCCTCCATCTACTGCTCCTTCACGCTCATGGTCTGAATGGCGATCAGGATCTGGTTCATGGTGCCTTCCATCTGGCTCATCCGTTGGTACAGGTTCACTCCGTTCTGACGAAGTTCGGTGATGTCCTGCTCCAAGTCCTCGATGCGGGACCACTGACTCATCCCGTCGTCCTCCTCCTGATGGTGGCTCTGGTCCTTTCCGAGCGGCTCTGACTTCGAGTTCTTGTAGCCTTTCTCGGTCTTCATAGGTGTCGACTGAGGTAGAAGGTCTTCTTTTCCTTCCAATCCCTGTTCTTGAATCAGCCGACGTTGAAGGTAAATCACGTAACCCTTCATGTGACTGCTGGCCTGGTCCAGATTCTTGGTGTGTGCCACGACCCAGTCGTTGTAGGAGCGGTCCTCGAAGATGTTTTTGTAAAGCTTGCCTTTTTGACGACCGCTCGTCATCTCCAGGTTTCCCAGCTCCTCCAGAGACATCTGCTCGAAATCTTGGCTGGCCATGTTCACTCTGCCCCCCGCGCGAGCCCACAACTTCTTCAAATCCACGTTTCTCTCCGACATGTGGACCAGCAACGATGGGAACGCGTTCTTCTAAAGGCCTTTGCAACTCAGCCAAAGATTTCTTGCTGAAGGCACGAAAGTGAGGTCGGTTTTCTTCCATGTCAATCGCTTTTTGAAGTTCAGACAAATCATCTTGACTGATATCAACATACCTCTGTTGACGAGACACAGCTTCCAGCATGGTGTGGAAATTGAAAGGACCATTGATTTGTTGATCCAAATGTTTAATGTCATGATTCACAAAACGCAACTGCTCGGGTGAACATCGAAACAAAACACCAGCATGAGAAATCCACACCACCGAACCAGCATGTTGACCATCACAAAAATCAAAAGTCTTTTCATGTGCCAAAACTCGAGCAGGTCCATGCCATCTACCCCCATATTTAGAATTGCCAGAATCCTTCCTATCCCTTCGAAAATAGTAAACCAAATCCCCAGTGACAAACTCACGCAACGGTCTACATCTGTGATTCAAGGCAGTTGACATGCGACGTGAAGCATCCACTTTCAAAAACAATTTCTGCGCTTCATGTTCTTTCTGCAGTTGATTCTCAAAACTATCATCTTCACGAGAGGACTGCAACGGAAGGTTTCGATATTGTTGCAAGAAGGACGCAATCCTAGAATGATTCTGCCCAAAAGCCCACATGATTGTGGGAATAACCACGAATGTTATGCATGTTATTCTTGGCACTGACCGCAAGTGACAGAAGTTCCTCAACAGTGGTGTCACTTTGAAGTTCAACAGCTAAAAGGCTCATCTGGTCTTTCAAAGTTTGCAAATGTTTGGAGTGTTTTCCTACTTGCCAACCAGATTCACTGGCAACAGGTTCAAGCTTCAAGCCAAAGTTTTCCAGCCAGTTTTTCACTTCAAGTTTCCGCAAGAATCCTTCGCCATCATATCTCAGCAGTGAGGGTGCAGGCAAGTGTTGTAGCCACCCCTTGCTGAAAGCCTGGCGGAATTCCTCGCCAGATATGTTGGACGGTGCACCATTCAGACTAGTCTTCACAATCACAGCGCAATGAAAGTCTGTGGCTTCATCCATCATACTAAGACCAAGGATGTGCTCAGGCTGCTGTCCCTCTTTCAAAACTTCCTTGGGGGTTTTCCACCAAAAAGTATCAACACTAACACACTGCCATTTTTCATAGTGTCGAGGGACAACTGCCGGCCTAGTCGGAGATCTTCGTCCCCTCAGCAGACACTCACGGCAAGTGAAAGTCTTGGCCACATCAATGATCTTCTGATCAGCACCAGCGTCCCGCAAAAGCCGAAGGAAACTCTCTTGACCAGGATGACCTAGATTTCGATGACAAGTCCTAACCAACCTGAGAATTTCGGGATCAACATCTGACTGGTCAGAGTTTCCTGACGCGTCCTGGATATCATCCTCAGACGGTGGCACATCCACTGGTTCAACCCTAGCATCATCCTCCTCTGCAATAGATGGTTCATATTCATCAGGTTCCGACACGGGATTATTAACAGCACTATCTCCATGAAAGACTTGATCATCACACAAAGTAAAAATCGGAAACATCTCAACAACATCATGCATGAGAGCTTTCGCAAAACGCCGACAAAGCAAAGGAGGATAAACAGCAGAGAGAGACGTGTTAGATCCTTCAATAACCGGATGACTTTTGGGACCATGGTTGCATGTCAGAGCCAAGGCATTTCTGATTCCATGATGAGTCGAGAACCATCCCCATGGTTTCTTCAACAAAAATTCACGATTCTTGTCCAACATGCCATGTCGACAACCATGAACAACGAATCTACCCCCACAAAGTTTCACCATGGTTTTCATGTCCTGAACTCCCCAGCTCTGAGCATGAAGAGGATGCTCTCCACCCGCGTGTGGTTGGACTGTGCCTGAAGTCATTCCCCCATCCCCATTAAGTTCCAGTAACTGTATCTCAAGGAGCCTGCGACAATTTCTGAGCAACCGTTTACTCACCTGACGTTTCAGCTCAAGGGCCTGAATTTGATCCTCAGTACGCTGGTTACAGTTCTGCATGGCACTCCAAGGATCACATGGTGGGGAGACATGGATATACCGGGGTCTATGTTTTCTAACCAGGGCAATGGCTTTCTTTAAACCAGAAACCGTGGTAAGATCATACCCATTATGTAACCCAATGGCCATAGATTTCCCCCCCATGTCCCGAACCGCCTTAGTGAGAGGGCTATCCCATGGAGCACAGACTTCCAACAAATCCAGGGAATGACCCCCGACCAATTCACGGAGAGCAAGAACCCCATTTATGAGTTCATCATGAACATGCTGACATGGTCCCTCAGTTCGCTCGGCAAAAGAAATGGGCTTTGATCCATCATCAGCACCAACACCAGGTTCAACAAAAACATCAAACTCACTACAACCATCATCACCACAAGAAATTTCAACACCTCCGATAGTGGTTGCACTCTTGAAATCAAAATTTTGTTTGTCATGTCCACTCAAGACCTCTCGCTGATAAAGATCAGATCGTCCATTTGGGTCTTGGTGGAGCTGTCCCTACAGCTCGGAGTCACCCTTTTGGATGGCGCCATGTTCCTTCAGAACATCTTGATCACAAGAAGCCGGCTCACTCTTCTCAGCTGTCAACGGAGTTGCGCAATCAGGGCTCGTCTCATTCATCTGAAAGGCAGTGATGGGAAGCATCAAGTGTCCACCAGGTCCACGCACCAGTTGCATGGATTCGTCTGACAGAGCATGGACCACTGCGACACCTTCACGGAAATTCACATCCATCTTCATGTCATACATGAACTTTGCACTCAAGAGCAAAGGCGTGTTGCCCTCGACCACATGCACTGACAGTGGAATGCGATATCCTGAGATTCCCACCTCAAAGTGCGCAAGTCCCAAAGCAGTGCTAGTGTGATCACTGCCATAGACAAAGCTCTTGTGCATCTTCCGGTCAACTTCAATGGTCTGGCTCACATCGTAGCCCAATTCTGCAAAGACATCTGCAAGCTCCTGGAGAGTGTTGACACCAATCACATTGTCAGATGCCCCACTATCCAGGATGGCCATACCACGATGGAAGGGTGGTGCATCCACGCTCCCAATGAGACGAGGTTGATCGTCCCACTGGACCTGCTCCATCACCACACCCACGAAGCCAATGCTGCTGGCCGCTGGAGGTCTATCACTACCCGAGCCCTTCTGAGGGCATGTCCTGGCAATGTGACCCTTTTTCCCACAACGCATGCAGATTTTGTCAGCAAACTGATTGTCACGATTGAATCCTCGACCTTTTCCACGTCCTTTGGAGGTTGCAAAGCCCGATCCCCGATTCAGATTCGGGTCCTTCACCGGGTAGAAGCCCCGGGATGTGCGAGCTTGTCCCAAAGCCCGTCGTGCATCCCGAAAATTTGCAAGGACCTCATCATCCTCGGGATCATCTATGAAGGCACTGAGAGACTCATCATACCAGACAGCCAATTCATCGTCTTCATTGGCTAGGAAAACTTCCTCTTCCACCATGTCTTCATCCTCCACGACCATGGCATGACCATTGCTTTCTTTCTTCTTTTTCTTTGTCTCACTATCTTTGGCCGCCAATCCACCACCACTCCACATGCGATGCAAGGCAGCAAGGATGTCAGTGTGCTTGTAGCTCTCTGATCTTCCACGGATGTTCGCCACGTCCGATGGTTCCATCCTCATGTAGTTGTTGACCAGATACCATCCATACACTTCGGATGGCATCTTTCCTTCAGCACCTGACTCCTTCAACGCCTTGTCTAGGCGGCGGATCATGGCCTTGAAGCGAGGCTCATAGTCCGAAAGCTCCTCAAAGTCTCTACGATACACATCCTTCTTCACAAAGAACTCTTGCAGAGCTTCACCGAGAAGGTCAATCTTCTCCTTTCCATGTGTCTTCTCCAGGAAGGACAAAAGGTACTTGTGACCATTCTCTTTCTTGAGCTCAGTCCTGTTGATTTCAACTATGGCCTCAAAGGCCCGTCCAGTGAGATTGGATGCAAGGCGTGGCCCAAGCAATGGCAAGTCCTCCTGTTTCATGCCATCAGCTTTCAATTCAACCCTCAGTTGATAGTCTTGCCATTTCGCCCAGTCTCCATCCCAGCTAGGATATTTGAAATCAACACCTTCAGATTCTTTCCCAGCACCACCAACGGAAGAAGTTGCCATGGCACCTAGAGCCTGCCAAGCGCCGCTACCATGCGGAAGTCTGGCAGGAAGTCCTCCTACCTATCAAACACCTGAAACCCAGCAGACTCTAGAGCACACCTGTTTTCTGTCGACAGGCAGCTGGTACCAAAAGGGTGACTCGAACCGCAGAACTAGCAGCACGAGCAAGATCGAACGCTTCCATGGATCTGAGCAATGTGATCGTTTCATCAGCCCCTTGCCAAGATCACAATCAACATGGATAGCGCCAGCCAGTGGGTCTCCAGAATGTGCCGCCTCTTCTTTGCTGACGATTACATCAGACACACAGAAGGCACACCCTCTGCTTCGCAAACGCCGAATATGGAATCAGCGTTCCAAGCGGTCCAAAACGCCCTCCCCAAGCTCGAGAATAGGGTCATAGAATTCCTTGCAGAATGGCTGGTGGCACTCTTAGCACCAGCAAGACATGTCCTGGAAACCAGATCGCCACATGTTGCTCAAGGAATACTGGTTCAGAGAACTCTACTTAGGCTTTAAGGTCACTGCCTCCTTTGACCGAACGGAGTCATACGTCCGAGTCATTGATGGACAGGTCCGATGCATCACACCGGACTTCAAGAACCAAGACCTCCATGTGGCATGGAATGTCCAATACGTTGTCATATTCGTCCCTGCATGGATGATTCCCCCTATGTACTCCAGCCTACGCCGGGAAAGCGTCAAAAGCACGGACTCAGGAAGCGTGACAGGGGTCAAATCTGTTCGTCCCACCTGGTTCCAAGACACAACAGCTACAAGGGGACCTCCACCAAGCTCAGGACAAGGAACACCCGAACCCATGCATGGCCTTCGGCTCATGATCAAAGAGGAAGCGCTGATCATCAGCGACCAGCCTTCTTTCCCAGCGGTGGCAGAACTGGCCAAACGGGGTTTACTCTCCCCAGAACCATGGCAATGCAACCGACCACGTATCAGCCTGAAAACCTCAATTGACGTACCAATGCTGGGTGATATAATTGAACAAAATGGTGACGGGCTCCTCGAAGAGTCGCATATGCCAACTGGATGGCCCCTACACATAGATGGAGCTGTAAGACAACGATGTATCCACCGCGACACTACACTGCTAGAACTAGATGATCTGCTTAGCGAATACGATATGAAACGGGATTTGGCCGAAATCAACCGCAAAGCACCCCAGTGGTCGCACAAAGCAGTCTGGAACAAATGGTACATGGAACCGAAAGCAGGCCATACCTTAAGCCAAATGTGGATCAATGCGGAGGCAGCCATCACACAAAAAACGTCACGGTCAACTGAAATCCAGGACAGTGACCTACGCCGGGTAGCCTCAGCTGTTACTTCCTTGCCGACGCCACAAATAACTGACAGCCCCTTCCTCAAGGCACTCGGCACCCCAACGATTCGGACTGCCCCGGCACAAACAGGAGAGCTAGCCCAAAGGGCAGCTGAAGAATGGGAACGGAACGTGTGCGAAAACAAAGCTGTGGCAATCTTGAACAAAATGCAACAAGGCAAAACGACTCTCATCAAGAAAGACGGAGGAGAAATGCTCATTGCCATAGTGCTAGATAAGCCACTCTCAGAAGCCCAGGCGTTAGTAGATAACCCTGATGCCTTTCTGCTTGAAATTACGAAAATCATCCAAAACAAGCATGCGCATCCTGTTATCGCACAAATGCTCCACCCTGATGTGCGTGACGACTTGCCTCCTTCAGAATGTGCCCCTGCCTCATCAGAAAGCCAAAGCAGTCATACGGAAACGACGAATCGCGCGCTGCCTCCAACGCAATTTCAGTAAGCCCTATATACGCTCTACCGTCAACGTGGGATACCCACGGCTGATGGTCCAACATCCCATGCCCAACCTGCACGTGCCTTCCTGCACCGTTCAACGGTCCTACTGACCAACATGGGATACCCATGGCTGGTTTGCACGCCCCTGCTACATTGCATCCAGTGTAATTTCGTAGTTGCCTTCATTGCCGTTTAATTCTTGTGATGTGTTGTAAGTAGGAGAAGGTTGGGGTCCTTCGCTTGCACCTGTTGGTAAGGGAGGGATGGTCTTGGGAGGGAAGTGTAACTAACTAGCAGTAGCTAGGATAGATGATGTCAAAGTACATCCGCGCCATGGCGTCTTTGTGTTCCTCATTCAGCGCTTGCTAGCATAATGGAACAGCACTGTCTTCGAGTGTCTTCGAGTGTGAGACCATGCAGCCATTTTCCGCGGATCACCTCCCTTTCTTACATTTGAGGCTAGCTAACCTGCAATGGAAGAGGCTGCTGTCAACCAGCAGACTGACATGCCGTACACAGCCCCAAGACACAGGGAACATGATCTGATGGATGAATCAACGCAGCCGCCGCCGGCATCAACGAGCCACAGTGAAGCACGCAACCTCCTTCTGCTGCAAGATTATGTTCGAAACGTTTCCCAAGCACAACTGATGCTCGAACAAACATCTGCTTCATTGCAGAGAACAGAAATTTTAACTGGAATCTTCAGCGAACATGACCTACGAACGCTGCGCACAGCTTGTCAATGCCCCAACAGCCTTCGTATCCGGGTTGAAGCCAGAGCGAACACAGTAGAACGTGCAATGATTGAGCAGCAGCTGCAGTTTATGCAACCAAGGGTGCAGCCAGTTCCCACCGAAGACCTCCGTACAGCTGACACCAGCTGCCCTTCCAGAACCTATGCCGACCATTTTATGTCGCAAGATCATCCTTACTGACCATTTAGAATATGAACACTTTGGTGCCATTCGATTACAACCTGTTGACAACCCATTCGATGAACACTTTGGTGCCAATCAAAGATGAGGATGATTGGAAAAGCACTACTGAGCGGATTCTGAGTGTGCCCTGAGTGCCTTAGTGTAGCTAGCTCGACATTACTTCTCACCCTAGATCCTTCTCACCGTCGCTTTCTTTAGTGTCTCACCACTTCAGTTGCTACACGGCGTTGCCGTTGCTAGCATCGATGTGTTTTTTCATGTGAGTTGTCATGCCTTGAAGGCTTGCTCTATGTGATCTCGGGGATCCTGGCTGGGGGGATCCCTGGTTTCCGCATAGTGCTGTGTTGCTTCACTCACACAACGGTATGGCAATGTGATTTTTGTGTCTCTGTTTTCCGTTTTGTTTGGTTTCGCCATACCAATACTTGAGTTGATACAATGCTATCACCTCTTTCTCATAGATAGTCACTGAACTGGACCGCCGTTCACTTTCCTCTTTGTGTTTTTGGTGCTTGTTTTTTGTTTGGTTGTGTTTTTTGTGTGTTCTGTTGCTTTGGGTGTTTTCTTCCTGTTTGCTGTTTTTCTGATTGGAATCGTGACGGCTGCTGGACTATGTACAGGTCCCATACCAGTTCACTCTTGTGGCCCCCTACCATTGGCGGCTATTTGTATGCATCAATTAGTTAATTTACCGGTTCTATGCAACATGCAATCGAACGTGTTGAACGACCTGGCGAAAGCCAAGAGGCGTTGGACGGAAAAAAAAAATCGAAAAAGTGCAGAAGCTCTGAGATTAAGGGCCAGATGCAATTTGTTGCAGGACAAATTTTTGGTAGGGTCGCCAAGCGATGCCTGTCCGCAGTCAACACAACATGCATACGAAGCTGGAGATGGACGATTGTCCGAGCCTCTTTTATCGGCGCTCACCAGATTCCTTGAACTGCTCCGGCGATTCCCAGAAGCCTGAGCGCCAAGAGTACATCAACATGGTTCATTTTTACAGATGCATCACACGAACCCAGTGCTGAAAAGGTTACAGCTGGAATTGGCTGAAATTGGAACAGCTTGGGAGAAAAGGTCAGCTTCTTTTCGAAGGAAGTTACAGAAGAAACTTTGATAATGATTAATGTGTCAAAAAGAAAACAATCATTTTTGAATGTTATTTTTTCGCAGTTTTCTGCGCAATGTGGTCGTGAAGAGAAAAACTGACTCGGTGTAACATCGTGATCCACATACTGACAACGATGGTGAGGGGACTCCTTCATTTCCTGTCACACCACAAGTGACAATGCTGTGCCCATTCTCGACAGCAAGAGTTCCGACAGAGTCGAATGTGGCCGACAATCCATTTCGATTTGATTTGACTTCACTGATCCAATGTGGTTGTACAAAAGTGTCCTTTAATTCCTGTTCGATGTGGCGAACCATGTCAGATAGAAATTGTAGAGGCACCGCGACCTGATTCGCCAACCCGCATTTGCTCTTGCTGCTTTTTTAGTGAGGGTCATTTGACACAAGATTAAAACTGCTAAATAGCTGCCAAGTAGCTGCTGCGTAACTTCAAATAGTTGCTGAATAACTGCTAAATAGGTGCTAAATAGCGGCTAAATAGCTGCTAAGTAGCTGCTAAGTAGCTGCTCAATAAATGCTAAATAGTTCTACCTGCATTTTTTTTTGCCAAATACTTGCAAAATAGTTTCCAAATAGTTGCTGAATAATTGATAGCTAACTTTAAATAGTTGCTGAGTAGCCGCTCAATAGCTTTTAAATAGCCGCAAAATAACTGCTGAATAAGTGCTGAATAGCTGCTAAATAGTTTCTAAATAACCGCTAAATAGTTGCTAAACAGAGCAAAGAGGTGCATGGATTCATGTGACTTTGGAATATTTTACTGCTAATGTTTCCGAATATTCTAAATCGAACTGTGTATCATTTAGGAATATTTTAACTGCTGACGTATAATTTTGGATTATTCCAACTGCTAGCAGGTAGTTATACACTCATATACTATCTTTGTTCATGTGGAAATTGAAATGTACAGTGTGTGAGTGAGTTGACATGACATGCTTTGCATTTTTTAGAACCCAAACAATTGCAGAGGTCCTATGTTGTGAAAGCCAGCCGGGAAGCTGGCTAGTTGCTATTTGCGAACGAAGTGAGAATAGGGGGTCTGGGGGAGGGGTAGATGCCAAACGGTCAAAAATCGGGAAAGTAGGTGTTAATTTTAGTCTGACGCTAGTATGGTTTTGCAGGGTAATGTGCCAGGCGGCAAAACAGTGACGGTGGGTATCGATTCCCCCTAGGTCCGGTTTTCTGGGGGTTTCTGGGCGCGGTCAATGGACAGATCGATGGGCCAGCTAGTTAAAGGAGATTGGAGAGAGAAGGACATTGGGTGAAAAGTATGTGCAAGAAGGGTTTCTGGGTGAAGAGTCTCTGGGTGAAAAGTCTGTGCAAGAAGAGTTTCTGGGTGAAGAGTCGTTGGGTGAAAACTATCTGGGTGAAAAGTATATGGGTGAAAAGTATGTGCAAGAAAAGTTTCTGGGTGAAGAGTTTCTGGGTGAAAAATTGAGAAAAGTATATGGGTGAAAAATATGTGCAAGAAGAGTTTCGGGGTGAAGAGTTTCTGAGTAAAAAGTATATGGGTGAAAAGCATGTGCAAGAAGAGTTTCTGGGTGAAGAGTCTCTGGGTGAAAAAATTGTGCAGATATGGGGGAAAAGTATGTGCAAGAAGAGTTTCTGGGTGAAGAGTGTCTGGGTGAAGAGTATAATATTGGTGAAAAGTATGTGAAAGAAAAGTTTCTGGGTGAAGAGTATGCGCAAGAAGAGTTTCTGGGTGAAGAGTCTCTGGGCGAAAAGTATATGGGTGAACAGTTTGTGCAAGAAGAGTTTCTGGGTGAAGAGTTTCTGGGTGAAAAGTATGTGCAAGAAGAGTTTCTGGGTGAAGAGTCTCTGGGTGAAAAGTATATGGGTGAACAGTTTGTGCAAGAAGAGTTTCTGGGTGAAGAGTCTCTGGGTGAAAAGTATATGGGTGAAAAGTATGTGCAAGAAGAGTTTCTTGGTGAAGAGTCTCGGGGTGAAAAGAATACGGGTGAAAAGTATGTGCAAGAAAAATTTCTGGGTGGAGAGTCTCTGGGTGAAAAGTATATTGGTGAAAGGTATGTGCAAAAAAAAAATCTGGGTGAAGAGTCTCTGGGTAAAAAGTATATGGGTGAAAAGTATGTGCAAGAAGAGTCTCTGGTTGAAAGGTATATGGGTGAAAAGTATGTGCAAAAAGGGTTTCTGGGTGAAGAGTCTCTGGGTGAAAAGTATATGGGTGAAAAGTATGTGCAAGAAGAGTTTCTGGGTGAAGAGTCTCTGGATGAAAAGGGTGAAAAATATGTGCAAGAAGAGTTTCTGGGCGAAGAGTCTTTGGGTGAAAAGTATATGGGTGAAAAGTTTGTGCAAGAAGAGTTTCTGGGTGAAGAGTCTCTGGGTGAAAAGTATATTGGTGAAAAGTATGTGCAAGAAGAGTTTCTGGGTGAAGAGTCTCTGGGTGAAAAGTATATTGGTGAAAAGTATGTGCAAGAAGAGTTTCTGGGTGAAGAGTCTCTGGGTGAAAAGTATATGGTTGAAAAGTATGTGCAAGAAGAGTCGCTGGGTGAAAAGTATATAGGTGAAATGTCTGTGCAAGAAGAGTTCCTGGGTGAAGAGTCTCTGGGTGAAGAGTATATGGGTGAAATGTCTGTGCAAGAAGAGTGTTGGGTGAAGAGTCTCTGGGTGAAAAATATATGGGTGAAAAGTATGTGCAAGAAGAGTTTCTTGGTGAAGAGTCTATGGGTGAAAAGTACATGGGTGAAAAGTATTTGTAAGAAGAGTTTCTGGGTGAAGAGTCCCTGGGTGAAAAGTATGTGCAAGAAGAGGTTCTGGGTGAAGAGTCGCTGGGTGAAGAGTATATGGGTGAAAAGTATGTGCAAGAAGAGTTTCTGGGTGAAGAGTCAATGGGTGAAAAGTATATTGGTGAAAAGTATGTGCAAAAAGAGTTTCTGGGTGAAGAGTCTCTGGGTTTAAAGTATAAGGGTGAAAAGTATGTGCAAGAAGAGTTTCTGGGTGAAGAGTCTCTGGGTGCAAAGTATATGGGTGAAGAGTATGTGCAAGAAAAAAATCTGGGTGAAGAGTCTCTGGGTGAAACGTATATTGGTGAAAAGTATGTGCAAGAAGAGTTTCTGGGTGAAGAGTCTCTGGGTGAAAAGTATATGTTTGAAAAGTATGTGCAGGAAGAGTCCTGGGTGAAAAGTATATGGGTGAAATGTTTGTGCAAGAAGGGTTTCTGGGTGAAGAGTCTCTGGGTGAAGAGTATATGGGTGAAAAGTATGTGCAAGAAGAGTTTCTGGGTGAAGAGTCTCTGGGTGAAAAGTATATGGGGGAAAAGTATGTGCAAGAAGAGGTTCTGGGTGAAGAGTATGTGCAAGAAGAGTTTCTGGGTGAAGAGTCTCTGGGTGAAAAGTATATTGGTGAAAAGTATGTGAAAGAAGAGTTTCTGGGTGAAGAGTATGCGCAAGAAGAGTTTCTGGGTGAAGAGTCTCTAGATGAAAAGTATATGGGTGAAAAACATGTGCAAGAAGAGTTTCTGGGTGAAGAGTCTCTGGGTGAAAGGGGTATTGGTGAAAAGTATGTGCAAGAAGAGTTTCTGGGTGAAGAGTCTCTGGGTGAAAAGTATATGGGTGAAAAGTATGTGCAAGAAAAGTTTCTGGGTGAAAAGTATATTGGTGAAACGTATGTGCAAGAAGAGTTTCTGGGTGAAGAGTCTCTGGGTAAAAAATATATGGGTGAAAAGTATGTGCAAGAAGAGTCTCTGGGTTCTGTGCAGAAAGAGTTTCTGGGTGAAGAGTCTCTGGGTGAAAAGTATATGGGTAAAAAAAATGTGCAAGAAGGGTTTCTGGGTGAAGAGTCTCTGGGTGAAAAGTATATGGGTGAAAAGTATGTGCAAGAAAAGTTTCATGGTGAAGATTCTATGGGTGAAAATATGTGGGTGAAACGTATTTGTAAGAAGAGTTTCTGGGTGGAGAGTCTCTGGGTGAAAAGTATATGGGTGAAAAGTATGTGCAAGAACAGTTTCTGGGTGAAAAGTATGTGCAATAAGAGTTTCTGGGTGAAGAGTCTCTGGGTGAAAAGTATATGGGTGAAAAGTATGTGCAAGAAGGGTTTCTGGGTGAAGAGTCTCCGGGTGAAAAATATTGGGAAACATAGGGATAGATGGGATGCTGGCTTTCGTTCCCCCCTTCTCAGGTCATGTGATTTTTTTCGAAACACTTTACAGATGACACGGGACTTATGGTGAACCTCCCGTACGGATGTTTCATCATTGTCTAGGTTTCCAAGAGTGTTTTTGTGAAACACGTCGACTCATGATTTTGATCTTGACATGTGCTGCAAAATTGGAGTTTTATGTTTTTTTTTCACTTTGCAAACGACATGGGAGTTTGTTTTTTTTCGGTATGTCGGACTACTCCCATGTCATCTGCAGGTACTATAATCCATTTCGAGAAATTCCTGGCAATATAAACCCATAGGTCGTGCAATTCAGCACGGCCAGTTTGTTTTACCTTTCGATCACTCGCCTTTCCTCTCAGGTTTATTAGATGTTGCATCAAATGCCAATTTTTGGGAAGTGGTTTTTGGCAGCAACATGGTGCTCGCGAGAAGTGTACAAGAAAGTCAGGTTTGCAAACTCGAAATTTATGGTTTCAATTTCGATTTGTTGAGCTGGTAAGTTTGTCTTGCAACTGCATGCCCAAATTCAGCGAACTTTTTGGAATTCGGCTCAAACAATTGTGCCCAGCACAAGCAGTACATGCTGAAATTGTCCGAGTTTCACCAATTCTTTTTGGTCACATTCTTGTGAGATTCCAAAACCCACATTTGCAATGCTTTCCTCTGACTTGTCTGTGTTCGACACGGTGCTTCCAACACTGGACGATGGCAGCAAGACCTTGATCCTTTTTTGTGTGCAAGCTGTTCCCTGTCTTCTCACTCCCGTTCTATTGGTTAACATCAACCGCTTGGCAAAGTCCTGTCGAAGAAGTTCGCCGACGGTCGCCGTTGAGCGACCGTCACCAGAAATACAAAAAAAGGCCCAAACTGTTTTGGAAGTGAAAAAATTGAGCACTTGCAAGGCATTCATGGACTGTGCCTCCGGCCTCTCTATAGTTTTTGCTGTCTTCGTGTGGATTAAATCCAGCTACGTTGGCCTCGCGGCCATACCAGCCTTTGACCTTTGTTTGATGCCAGCAACATTGCTTTGGTTAGGTTTTGTGGGAGTTTATCAGGCAGACGTTTTGCCTGGGGGCAAACATACAGTGACAGTGCTTTCACTCTCCTACAATGTGGTGTTGCTCTACAACCAGATTCTCATTCGATGGTTGGAGGTTACGGATCGTGATTCCCTTCTCTTGGTTTGCAGGCTTTTGGCTGGTTTCGCTTTTTGTGATCATCGCAAGGCTGCAGTGATGCAGATAGCTTGGATCATGCTGAAAACCCAAACACCTCCACATGTCAGCAATCCTAACAATGGCCTCAACGAGGTTTGGGATGTGCTCCTTTGGGAAATATTCCGACAATTTGTGTTCATTACACCTATGTGGCTATTGTGGTTCTCTGTGGAGTACTTTGTAAGACAGTTCACGGAACTTTCCTTGATGCACATCAGTTTTTTTCTCGAATTTTGGGTTTTTGTTTTTTCGTTGAATCTATTGCATGCTGCGAGGATAAAACGGGTATTTCTTGTTTTGGTTTCGTGAGGAACTTATGGTCCAGAAGGCAGATGTGAATGCTTCTTTGGACGCAGCTCGCTCCGTCCTGGCAAGCCAATGTGATGCTGAGGTGCGTCCAGTGTGAATCTGGGTTTCTCATGTTTGTGGACCATTTGGAAACAGTACACGTCGATGGACTGAACAGTAATTTACTCAAGACAAATTGACATTAGCAAAATCAAGTGAGATCATGAAACTCTCTTGAATGTGCATCACATTATATATTGCATAAAAAGAGATGACTGATAGTCAAGAAGAGAACATAACTTCAAAGGCTGTGTGCTTACCCATACTATGTAGTGCTGCGTGTCATCTTTTGCTTGATTCTTGCATGAAATGAGCAGCTGATTTCATCCAACCCAAAGCTGACCCTAGCTGCTACGTATTATTCTATGTGTTAAATTACTCCACATAGTCTACTTGCTTTACCCGTATTGCCGCAGAAGGCCTTCCTCAGAGCAGATCTTCGTTTCCACAACCCCAGTGCCAAAATGGCCCATTTCTTTGGCATGAAGACCGAAGATCTGAAAGATATACGTTTGGTTGACCTTCTGGATAGCCGCGATGCAGCAAGGTTTGAAAAATTGGTTGCAAACTCCGTCCAAGGGCTGCATGTGAGTGGGACAAATGATGAGAAACGTGGACAGCAGACTGCAGCATCTCTGAATGTGACCTTCAAGCACGGCTCTGGGCGCCGCATTGAGACCCGCATTTATCTTGGGTCTGTTCCTGGCCTGCTTGGCAATGAAAGACCTGGTCACTTGATAGCATTCAATGAAGTCAGGGATATCAGGGACGTCCCAGAGGAGTACTCCAAGGTTGTTGAAACGGACAATGCCAAGACGGTCATCTCCCAGACTAAAGCTGTTCCGAAGGCTGAAACACATGAGGTAAGAGCTGGAGCCGCTGCGGCTCTATCTGAGCACTTGCCATTGAATGCTGATACCTTGGCTTTTCATGCTTGGTCCTACAGCAAACGACTTCTTCTGCAGAAGCTGCGGGCAGCATTGAGCAGGTGAACGCGGTCTTTGAGCAGGATTCTTTCGCAGTAAAGGAGATCCAACTCAGAATGTCCACTTCAAATTGCAAGCATCGACGGAAGATAATGCTGCGTGAATGTATTGTTCCGCAAGCCTGGGATGAACTTCAGAATTGGATGGAAGCAGTCAAATGGGATAAGACAGCCTCAGCACCTCTTGTTCTTCCATTCGTTTTTCCCAAGTTTGTGACGGGAGCACTGGCGGCGCGTCACACAGAGTTCTCCAGGCTCTCAAATACCAAGTCATCAAACGAACTCATGCTGACTTTGAGTGATATCCGTCTGCGTCGATTTCAGTCTGGTCGCTCTGCTTATGCTCCAACCATGGGCAGAGGTACAGCTTCACATGTGAGTCGTTGCTCTTTGGATGACCAGAAACTCTGATTGCAGGATTCCTGTTGCAGTCTACTGCTCACCAGAGTTAGAAACTCCGTGGACAGCAATGAGGATAGCGAGGCAGTCGTTTGCCAGCACAATTGCACATCATTGCGAGGGTCAAACGATTTTTGCCTGCATACCTCTTTAAAGAAGTCACCATCTTTAAGCAAAACGACCAGCAGCGTGTACATTCTGAGTTGTGTGAAATTTGGCTCAGCTTGGCATGTGAAACTGTAGGGAGAAAGAAGCACTTCACGATCCCAGATTCAGGGCCACTAGCATATTCATGTATATTCACATTCGCAACACTCCCCAGCAACATCATGTTTCTCCTACAGTTTGCTAACATGACTGAGAAACATTGAGAAACCTAGCCTCGCTAATTCGGCAATTGTCCTCATCACACTGAGTTCTCGGCCATCGCTGTGGGATGGATCGAAGAGATCGCAATGAGTTGAGATGAGTCTTGAGGCAGGCTCCAGCTCGAGGCCTCGAGGTAAAGACCGATGGAACTTGCTCCGAGATGTACATTCCATCACCAAACAGGCTCTGTGGTTCTGAGTTTGTGAGGTAAAGCCCACAGAGATTGAGTTCTAGTTCCCAGATGTTCCCACTTTGTCAGTGCTGTCCTCCTGGTTTTTCCCCACAGAAGATCAGTTAGGGACCTTCCGACATGTGTTTGAGGCTTGAGGCTTTAGGCAGCCGATGTGATTTATATATATATGTATATGATTGTATATGTATATATCTTTGTGGCCTTGCGACTGCAGTGGGTAGCGTACAGCTCACAGACCTAGCAACCCCACTAGTTTTGCCAAGACAGAAATTTCTCAGTTCCACTGCAAGGTTCGCGGCACCTCTTCACCAATACCAGAGCTCAGCAAATCAGTTGTGTTGCTTCCTCAGCTTTGTTCAAGCAGCATATTTGAGCTGTAGATGTTTGGACACCAAGGCTTTCCGGCACCCCTGCGAAGACAACCTTGGAAGTGGTAGGGGACCCGCTACCTCGTATCCCGCAACCTGCAGAAACAGTCATGCCAACTGAGGCACCTCAGGAGGCTTTGGCAGCTAAACCTTGCTCGCCTCCCAGCTTGGACCTTGGATTTGTGGTCTGACTTTGTACACAAAAACGATCAAAAACTATCAAAGACTCATCAGCGTGCTTGTTATCATGTTGTCTTGTCAATCAGTTACTGCCGATGGCTGCTAGTTCAGTTTTTTTCATTTAGTTTTTGCCAAATTCAGCTTATATAAATCTTTTAGATGATTCGAGTATATTTGAGTGACCTGAGTCTTAGGCTTGATTTCTCCGGCTCTCTCTGAGCCTGCACCAGAGCCCGGTGTTGAAGGAGAGAGTGCTCTTCCCGTCACGCCCTCGGCAAGTCACACCTAGTCTTCTTTGCGAGTTGTGCCCACGGCCAAGGAAAAGGAACTTCACGCAGCTTCTAAGGATGTACAAGGCCTGAGGATTTAGGTGGCATGCTTTTATGCTTTTCAATCACTTGACACCACATCACCGACACATCATGTGACACCTTGGAGGCGAAGGGGGTCAAGGAGAAGACTTTTCGGATTTGTCCGAGGCCATCCATCAGGGAAAGGATTGCTTGTCATGGGACACTGATGGACACTGAAAATCTGAATGCCGCACCAAGCAGATGGCAAAAAAGTGAAACACCATTTAACGCTCCACAAGATCACCTAAATGCAGTCTTGTTTCATTTGAAGAACACTTCCCGTGAAGGCAAGCGACGGAGAGGAGAAGTCGGCTTCCCTGTTGGCTGCAGTTCCGATTGTTCAAGTGCATGACAAGACACAGGATGAGGAAAACAGCATAGAAAGCAGCAAGTTGCTTTCTGGCAGAGAGCCAATCAAGAGCCAAACATCAGAAAAACGTGAGCTGCAAGTTCCTTCGTCACTTTTGAATGGAAGCAAGTCAGCACGAGTGCGGTTGAGTGAGCGCAGGTCTGGTTCCAGAAGACCACAAAACAGACCCGCAGCATTTGGAGAGACAACGGCGGCAACGAGGACAGACATGGTTGCAAGCATGGTGAGCAGTTTGGCTGGCTTGGCAAGCTTTAAGTTCACCACTGAAAATGCTGATAGTGAGGGCGAGGTCCACAATGCATGGGGAGACAATGACACCGAAGACAACTTGCTGGAGCGCGTGCAAGATCTAGAGCAGGCGAGAGGAATAGCACTTGGACCGCCTCAGTCTTCAGCACGCATGAGACGAGCCAGGAAAAACAAGAAAGACAGGCCAAAAGAGGCAGCTGCGCGCAGCTCGCAAGATGGAGCAAGCCAGCAGTTAGATAAGGTGCGTCCTCAGCATACAGAGTCCAACAGTGATACCTTCACAGCTGCATCAAGTATGGTGACAACCATGTTCAATAGCTTTGGGGCAAGTGTAAGCTTTACAGTGAATGTCAAGCAAGATGCAGAGAGAGAATCTGGTACCAAGAGCCATGCCACAGAAGAGTCTGCAGCAAGCACAGCCGAGCCACCAAAAACATGCTTAGCTGTGCCAATGTCACAACCTCCTTCTGTTGGCAGAGACCGTTTTGCAAGAAGAAGAGCTTTGCAGAAGCTTGAAACACAACCCGTAGCATTTACGGCGGCAACGAGCACAGACATGGTTGCAAGCATGGTGAGCAGTTTGGCTGGCTTGGCAAGCTTTAAGTTCACCACTGAAAATGCTGATAGTGAGGGCGAGGTCCACAATGCATGGGGAGACAATGACACCGAAGACAACTTGCTGGAGCGCGTGCAAGATCTAGAGCAGGCGAGAGGAATAGCACTTGGACCGCCTCAGTCTTCAGCACGCATGAGACGAGCCAGGAAAAACAAGAAAGACAGGCCAAAAGAGGCAGCTGCGCGCAGCTCGCAAGATGGAGCAAGCCAGCAGTTAGATAAGGTGCGTCCTCAGCATACAGAGTCCAACAGTGATACCTTCACAGCTGCATCAAGTATGGTGACAACCATGTTCAATAGCTTTGGGGCAAGTGTAAGCTTTACAGTGAATGTCAAGCAAGATGCAGAGAGAGAATCTGGTACCAAGAGCCATGCCACAGAAGAGTCTGCAGCAAGCACAGCCGAGCCACCAAAAACATGCTTAGCTGTGCCAATGTCACAACCTCCTTCTGCTGGCAGAGATCGTTTTGCAAGACGGAGAAACAGACTTGATCCTCCATTGTCCGCCTGTTCCAACGATAGACAGTCGTCACTTGCATCCGCTTCTCAAGGAACCGAGTCGCAGCTTTCCGTGCTCAGTGATACAAGCTCTCGCGGGCGCCAGCGGGAAAGGCGAAAACAACATGTGTCTGAGGAAGGTGCTTTGACTTCCAGATCAACTCTTTTCGACGTGGCAGCTTCAAGTCTGGCGGAATTTCAACGATTGTTCCAGAGTGACGAAGGTGAGACTTACTGCATTTGGGGTCCTGACGATACTCCGGAGCAGTACCAAGAGCGTTTGAAAGCGTTGGACGCCAGCCAAGAACCAGCATCCCAAACTTCTGGAACAATGCTTCATCATCGTTTGATGAGGCGGAGGAAGAAGAAACAGGAAGCCTTGGAGAGAAAGAACCAGGACATCGGACAGAGTTGAAGTATGTTGAAGTATCTTGGAGTATGTTGAAACTGTTGAAGCTTGTTGTGGTTCTGATAGCCTCCAGAGCTCATTTTGTGTATAACGATGCAACGCATTTGTTGTCTTTGCCTTGAAGTTTGAACTTTCTGGGTTTCTAACTTCAATGTAAAACGGCTAATATATTTGGGACTAGCTCGACCTATGTTAGAGATATGGGCAGTAATTTCCTGGGATTGAAGAGACACTCCCAGGAAAACCTGATGTTTGATGGACAACAACATGGGTTTTGGCAAAAAAAGTTGAAGCAATCCATTGAGAAGTTCAATCAATTCACCCATTTTTGCTGAAGCATTCCAAACTGTGCGAGGAGACAGCCGATGCGACTGGAGATCCCTTCTTGCTAACGTGAGACTCCCGGTGAGTCGTTCAATGTCGCTCAAGCTTGTCTGAGTAGGTAGTCACCTGATCAATGCAAAACTTGAATTAAGAGCATTAACATGCACCCAAAACAATTTGTGAAACATCAGGTTTGATCTTATATATACGTATATATATATATATACATATCGACATTATATGCAATATGTATGTAACATATATGTATTGTTAGATATTGTTTATTGCATTGCATTGCATTGGATTATATTGCATTGTATTGCATTGCATTGTATGGTAGCATGTCATGTCATGTCATGCCATGTCATGTCATATGAAATTATACTATACCCTATACTATACTATATTGCTTTATGCAACACTATATTAGATTATAGTATAGCATAACAAAACACAATATGCTACAATATGATACAGTACAATATGATACAGTGGACTATCATTGATAATATCATACCAGTAGTACCGCACAAGGCGGTGGCGGAAGTTTCAAAGATAGGACACTATAGGAGAGGTGAGTTGTTGTGATGCATGGATGGCAGAACGAATCCACTGATGGACCGAAAGGTGGTTGGAGTTGTGTTTTTTGGAGTGGTTGCAATGGTTGCAGTGGTCACCTCACCCACAACTGCTGGATGTAGTGTGTAGTGTGATGTAGTGCAGCTGTAGCTGTAGTTGTAGTGTAGTGGAGCTGTAGTTGCAGTGTAGTGTAATTAGTGTAGTGAAGTTGCAATTGTAGTTGTAGTGTGGTGCAATGAGTGTAGTGCAATGTAATGTAGTGTAGTGTGCTGTAGTGTTGTGTGTTGTAGTGTAGTCTAGTGCAGTGCAGCGTAGTCTAATGTAGTGTACAGTGTAAAGTAGTGAAGTTGCAGTTGTAGCTGTAGTTGTACTTAGTGTAGCGTAGTGTAGCCTAGTGTAGTGTAGGGTGATTAGTGTACTGTAGTGCAGTTGCAGTTGCAGTTGCAGTTGTAGTTGTAGCTGTAGTTGTAGTGCAATTAGTGTAGTGTAGTGTTGTGTAATGTAGTGTAATTGCATTTGTTTTTGCACTTGTAGCTGTAGTCTAGTGTAGTGTAGTGTAGTGTCATGTAGTTAGTGTAGTGTAATGTAGTGTAGTTGTAGTTGTAGCTGTCGCTGTAGTAGGAATCGTAGTTGTAGTTGTAGCTATAATTTTAGTGTGATAAGTGTGGTGTACTGTAATTAGTGTAGTGTCATGTAATTCGTGTACTGCAGCGTAGATCTGATGTAAAATGCAATATTATATCTTATGCTATGATATGATATAGTATGATGTATAGTGTAGTACCGTATAATGTAGTATAATAAAGCATAATACAATACAATGCGCTATGGCATGTGAAGATCGTACTGAGATCAGGTGACTATGGCTAAGATAGCTTGGTGTTAGTGCTCACATTTGACAGATTTGACAGCTTCAAACTTTCTGGTGTCTCCGAGACTGGAACATTTGAGCCTGTGCTGCTAGAAAATCAAAGGAAACCGTGTTGAAGCCGTCGGATGCTGGAGACCACGCAAATTTCTGAGTAAGACGAAAAAAATCTGTTATCGCGACCTTGGCCGCGTTGAATCGCGTTGGCCTGCGCCATCAATAGCTCCTGAGATTTGCTATGGACGATTATACATTATACTGTAGTTCTATAGAGAATCATTCGCTCCCGTAGCAGATCCGGTTTCTCAGCATAGATGTTGAAGCATTGGCTCAAGGCCCTCCGGGGCATTTCACAGATGTCACAGGCTAACCAGTCTGGCAGAAATGCTGCAGCCACTGGAACCTTCAAGGCAGCTCCAATTGGTGTGGAACTGACATGACAAGCGATGTATTCAGCTGAACTTAACTCAACCACAGGATCAAACGCAACAAAGAGCAAGTCATTTCAGACACCCGTTTGGTTGGTTCAGTGTTCTGGGCTTTCTCTGTTAGGCAACTCAGAAAAGCGTGGGTCTGGAAGGATCCAGTGGGGCTAGGGCCTTTGAGTCTGCAGAGTTCATCCAGAGATTCAAATAGTCTCGTTTTTCACCACCTTTCAGGAAAAGAAGGGTATTGGTCAGAGGTGGAGTGCTTAATTATCACGTTCACACATTCTCACAAGGCACCTTTGATGATGCACACGGAGGCCAAGATGCAAGGACCGCATTCCGAGCTTGGTACCCGCAAGTACCACCGGGTTTGCCAATGAAAAAGTGATGTATCCTCACTCCAGTAGACTCCAGTAGCACCACACCTTGGATACACATTCTGCGAAGGAGATTCAACGAGGGGTGTGGTGCCTGCAAGAGACGTCACACCGTGATTGTCTCAGTTTCGCATAGTTTCGCATAGTTTCGCATGTTTGTGTCCTTACATAACTTGATCTTCTTGGTGACAGGGAGCAGCTGCATCTCTTCCTATTTCCAACCAGCCTTGAACATCCAGAGGCCGCAGTGAATCCACCAACGAATACGATGTGTTTGTTCTGATGCCTCGGCTCGGTGCCAGTCGACTGGCCGGCTTGAACTCTTCGCCCGTTATGGGCCTGTTGATCAGGCAAGTGGGCAAGTGAGTTTGGCAGACATTGAGTTCAGATTGGCAGACATGCTGGTGTCACTGGTGCTGAACTTCGGGGCAGTGCAAACAGGCTGGCAAGCTGCGAGGTGGCATATCTGGGTCTCATGTTCACACCGCAGAGAGCTTAAATACCTTGGCTGTGCATATATCTCACAAGTTTTGAGTGATTTTTGACACGCGACTAAGGACTTGGAAATCCGACAAATGATCCATCACGAAACTCGGGAGGTTCACAGCGATTGCAGACAAACATATCAAACATTCGAGTAGCAAGTTGAGCACGGTGATTCAGCAAGTTCCGCATTGGAAGTGTGCGTCGGGTTACGTTTGCGCAGAGAAAGTTCACTTTGCTTGTGGCAGATGCTGTTCACGCTCTTCAAGAAACCTCGGGAGACTGTTGAGGCTAGCGGTCTGTCTTGAATTTTCAACTCTTTGCTCATCTTGCTTCTTGAAAACGTATAGGCAGAATTCTCCCACATGTCAACACACTGTTGAATGATGACAATGTCTCGAGACCCACGTAATTTCTTGGCAGAGAACAGCTGTATCAATCTGTATCATATTGACAGCTCAAGCCCCACTCCCAGCAACTTCGAGAATTCTCTTCCCACTTACAGTCCAGAAATGTCCAGGTCCAGACTAGACTTTGTGGCATGATCTCTAAATATCAAACTCTTTGGGCTGGGCTCTTTGTCAATTTCAGGGCTTTGACCTTCTCAGAAGATCCCGCTTATGCATGTTTGGAATGGAAGGGACCTCGTGCATGCGTTTCCAACAAGTGACCCTTTTGAACTTATATGATTTATATGCAATAAATGAAGCTGCTGTGACTTACAATTTCATGCTGACGACGGATGCTGAGTCCGACTAGGGATCAGCTTCGCGAGACTGGGAATGGACTATGGGCAAGTCATAGCAAGTCAATAATTGAGCGTATGTCCGGTGTATGTCTTTAACGTGACAAGCTTGAACAGTGCTAGGTTGTTGTCGATAGCTTGATGCCAGCTGCCATGGTATACAGCTACACGTGGCAGGAGGTTCGAGTTTTCATCCCCTTTGGGGCTTGGCAAACTGTTCAAAGTGTTCAGAGTTTCTCTGAGAAAAAAAACGCTGCATTAAACGCTGCATTTGGGCAGGTAAAGCATCTCCTCAAGCCTTGCTTTCAGGAGATGGGAAGGCGATTTCTGAGCCTTTTGTGTTTGCCAATTGCATCACATTGAGTCACATTGCGTCCTGATTTGTTCTGTGCCAGTAACGGTGGAAAGCTGCACTTCGCCCGTATGCAGAAGATCATCCTCCAAAATCAACGTGAACGGCTTCAGGTGCTGCGGAAGCACAGCCACTGGCTGTTGATGGTTAAATTCGTGGTGCAGTGTGGTGTTTAGGCACTGCTGAAGGACAAGAATGCTGCGTACAAGGACGGCATGGTATGGCAGCATCGGTCTGCTGACTTCAGTTTTGCAGAACTGTAGGAGCGAGGGCCGAAGAATCCATTTCAGTCAAAACCCCAACATGCTCTTCTCGCACCGATTGCCAAGTGAACCTGACCTGTTTAATTCAATGAACACACATGTTGCTTCAAACTTGTTTCTGTTTGCTGTGGCAACGCCTGAATTTACTGCGTCTCATGGCAGGAAACAGCTGAATTCACAGGAGGAGATGTCTTGAATTCTGACGCTGATTGTACCAAATCAGAATGATTGCCATGTGACTGCAGTCTTGTTGGGTGCAGGAGCAACACTGGAGAAGAACAAGGCTACAGAGATTCTGCACTCTCCTGGCAGAAATTGAGGCGCTAAATACTGGTAACACCAGACCAAGGCTATATAGTCACTATAGTCTGAAAAGTCGTAATGTTGGAATGACTTTCATTCTGACGTGGAATGGTCTCAACAGTCTCAATTGTTTGTAGTCGCTTTGGAGAGCTGTGCAATTCTTTCGATTGAACGCGCAATGGCGGAAATTTTCACCCCAGCCACTCAGCCAGAGTGGCTGACGCAGCCACTCAGCCACTCAGCCACTCTGAGTGACTGAGTGGCTGAGTGGCTGCTCCAGCCGCTCTGGCAGAGTGGCTGAGTGGCTGAGTGGCTGCTCCAGCCACTCTGGCAGAGTGGCTGAGTGGCTGAGTGGCTCCTCCAGCCACTCTGGCAGAGTGGCTGAGTGGCTGCTCCAGCCACTCTGGCAGAGTGGCTGAGTGGCTGCGGCAGAGTCATCAGCCAATGAAATGGATAAAGTTTTAAACATTTCAATACCTAAGCAAGATTATATGATATTGACAGCAACTTGATTTACAAACATACCCCTGTAAACTTCAACCGCCATAGCTACATAACTTCCAACGTATTGATTAAGAACAGCCACATATACACTTTGAACTATAACCTGAAATCACTTAAAAGGAAAGAGAGTGTCGATGAACTCTACAAGTTTAGGATTGGAAACAACTATTACATCAACAACAGAGAAGAACCTCTTAAATACAAAATGATTGATGGTATCGATGATGTGATGAGTTTAAAGTTTAAAGGA